GTTGAAGGCAGAGCAAACTCAAGTCTTTTGAGTGGTAAGAGCAGCACCAATCCTAGCAAGGAAGGCCTATAAACTGGTTTGGAATGTTTGCTGAGTTTATTTCATCACTCTGTTTCCTGAAAGAATGTAGAGGTCAGTGGGCCATCAAGCGTCTTATAAACTAACATTGAGGATCAATGAGTTCTCAGGTGGATTAAAGTTAAAAGATGTCATTCCTCAGTGTGCCTATATTCTAGAGATGTTCATATTCTAACCAGTGTAATCTTTAAAATGCTGAATAGATAGTCCATACAGCTACCAGACAATCTGAATGAATTTGAGTATAAACAACCATTAGATGTAATTCTACCTGAAGGTCACCCTGTACTTAGCAATGGAGAAAAGGTATGATTAAGTACCTGGCTCTTCCCCAACAATATTTATGAATTGTGAGAAGACACCTCAATGCAAGAGATAGAATTAGTCAATGTCAAAAGAACAGTGAAGTTTAAACTAATTTTTTTTAAGTTGAAGCTAGCAATAATCTGATACGGTGTGAGAGAGCAAATACACAGGAGGGGAATGATGAAAGGTCTTCAAGAAAAACAAGGACATCTGGAAACAAGAAGGGAAATAGGTTTAAAAAGTATATAAAAGTCTTATAAAAGAGGAATAGAAGAAAAAAGCAAGAAGGAATCTTTAGAAAATTCAAGATAATGGCTTGAAGATTATATCTTATTTGATTAGTCCGAGCTTGGAAAGATAAGATAGGAGTAAGAATATATCCAGAATGCTTTTAATGGAAAGAATATATATTAAAGGACAAGGCTAGATAAGGCCTGAACTTTCCTCCTGGACAAGCAAGTACTCACTTTAGGGATCTGGCATCTAAAACAAGGCTCAGAGGTGAGGTCAAACTGGCTCATTGGCTATAGCTGGTAGAGCCAAGGGAAAGGTAGAACCCTGGCAAAGCTGGGAGATACCAGACACTCACTCAAGTGTGGGGCCAAAGGATCTGGGCAAAGACGCAGAAGTAACCAGGTGCTGGGCAAAGGAACAGAAACTGAGACCCCAGGACAAGACAAGCTGTTAAGAATAACAGGTGGGGGGGCCTCCCTGGTGGCGCAGGTGGTTGAGCGCAGCGCTGTGAAGCTGTCCGCAGCCTCTACAGTGTAGGTTCGATCCCTGCTGGCCGCAGAGATGCCCACATGGCACAGCAGACCTCTCCTATCTCACCCGCTGCTCCCCTCAGCAGTGTACTTTGGTCAATCCGCCTGTTCTGCTCCCCACTCTGTCTCTAGTGAATCCTCTCACCCTCCCACACATCTGGCCTGTACCCTCGTTCTTGTATAAATAAATTAATCTAAAAAAAAAAAGGGTAGGAAACAGAGCCTGGGAGTTCTCAGGGCTATGGAGTATCATCACAGAGGAGTTTTATGGAGGTATTTAGGGTGCTAAGCTGGTTTAACATAATAAATTAAATGGAGTCAAGCTCTTAACCTCAGCAAGAAATAAGTGCTATAATAACAACAAAAATAACCATATCTACTCTTTACTCATTATGGGCTTTGGTTTGAATATCGGTGGCAAAATGGGTGGATGTGACAAGTCACTTAACTTCCCCCAACTTTTAAAATGTAGACAACCCTCATTTCCCCCCTTTCCTGAACGGTTACATCCATTCCCAGGCATTCACTATGTGCTGGCCACTCCCAAATTCATTTCTCCAACCCAAACCTCTCCTCAGACAGGCACTTGCATCCAAACACAACTCAAACTTAACAAAGGCAAACTGAAATTCTTCAGATTCTCTTTCAGGGTCAAGGATGTTCGTCCTTGTCTAAAATGCTTCACGCCCATAAGCGGCACCATCAGTTGGTTTCTTGATTCCTCCTCTCAATCATTCTCAAATTTCAATCCAATGACTCCTAGAGCAAAACCCAATATCCTTTCCATGACCACAGCTTGTCTTAAGTGACTCCTTGCCTTAAAACGAATCTGGGATGACTATGAAAATGTCTGACATCCCTCAATGGCCTTTCTCCCCCAATGCCCCTCTCCCAACCCCTTCCTCTTTGCTCCCAAGGGGGCTGCTCCTCACTGCTGCCTTTCCAGGCTTTTCAAGGCCTGTTTCGTTAGGGTCTTTCCCAATTTTCTCCAGAACTCCTCGCAGTTTTAAAAATTATTTATCTTATTGAGGAAAAGTTGGTTGACACACTACATGTTTTAGGAATACAGGCCCACACCCCTCCAAAGGTTTCTTATCACACCACACCCATAACCAAGGCACCCATGACCCTCCAGCATAGTCCACCACAGGGCATTGGGCCCCACCCCCTTTACTCCTCACCCCACCCACCACTGGTAGCTTCAGTTCTGCTGTCATATTTCTAGGGGTGGAAGGGGAGGTAGAGATTGGGTTGGTTTGTTTGTTAGTTTTGTCTGTTCCTTTGCTTAGAACTCCTGGCATTTCAACCTGTTTGGGATGTGCTTCTCTGCCTCTCCCTCGGCTCCAGCCCACAGGAAAGGTTATTATATAGTATTTCCCCACCAGCCTCAGGCCCAAAGCTCTTGGTTAAAAAAAAAAGCAAAAAAATACCTCTCCCAAATTCACTTAAGTCTCAGAAAATTGGGTCGAGCACTGAATAGCATCAGGTAGATCCGCGTTGTAAGCGGAGAAAACAGCACTGCAAGAGGGGGTGTGCGTTAGAGGCGTCCAAACCGAAAGGCACAGATTTCATGGACAAGTGTTTCCCCTCTCCTGCTCTGGCAGGTCGGACCCGCGCCAGGCGATGCTGGCGGTAAGACACCCGGGGGGTGGAAGGTCCGGGGCCGCCCTCCCCGCGGGGTCCACGCGGCACCTGCCTGCCTTTCCGCTCACAGTCCAGCCACAGTGCGCAGCCAGACAGGGTTATCAGAAGCAGCGCACGTGCACGAAGCCGCGCAGGAGAGAAAGGATTGTAACGCGCGCGTTTGTGCCGGGATCCATTTAATGTGAGGTTCGCAGTGAAACCTCAGAAACCTTCGGGAAGCCGAGCAGTGGCGCCTGCGGACAGAGCTGTCAGAGAGCGCAGACCGGCTCGCCGGAGGGCAGGTCAGGAGGACTGGACCGCTCCTTCCTCCTTGGAAGCAGACGACACGCAATCAGGAGGCCTCTTTCCCAGACAATAATGGTTGAGGCCTCATTTCCAATGGATCCTCCAAGTAGAAATCCCTGCGTGACTGCCTTTTTCTAGACCCTCTGGAATGGCCAGACCTTGTGCTTTTGTTAATTTTCTATACCCCACCGGGTAGCCTGGTGGTGCCTGGCACGTAGCACATGCTCACTAAACACGTGTGGTATAAATGTAACCACTAGGGACATCCCAGTGCCCTAGCGTCGCCCTGCTCTTTGCATTTTTTAATGTATTAAACACACACACACACTTCAAGCCTTACAACACGATTGATTCACTCAAAATAACCCAGACAGCCTGACAAGACAGAGGCGCAAACGTCAGAAAATATACTCAGTGTTCATGTCTCTTCCCAATCACCTTCCACTCCATGTCCCAGTTGGGAGAGGAGAATGGGGGTGTGCACCCGGCTTTTCTTACTGTGTGGTGGAAACCCAGGCCCAGACAGGGTGAGTTACTTTCCCTGGATCTCTCAGTTTTAGAACTCTCTTGGATTCTGGAAAGAGCCTGAGCTCACCAGAGTTCAGATTATGCTCTGCCACTTGGAAGGACCCTGGGTAAATAAAAGCAATCTTGGTATCTCATCTTCCTCAGTAGGAGGAATAACGCTGCCTCCCTCATAGGATTATTCTATCCCAGAGACTGAATTAGAATAGGCGGCTAAAATAAGGTGATATAGGAAGCTGTACAGATCAGGTACACAAAAATAATAGTTTCCCTCTTCTACCCCCAGAGTGGAAATAATTTTGTGAGGATGGTAAAACTTCTTGTAGGCTATTTTAAAAAAATATTTTTTGTTTGAAAATAAAGATCATGAGTATAATAAATCAGTATTTATAGTAACAAATTAAAAAGTCATTTCAGTAGTGTTAATTCTTGTGTCTGGCATATATATCATCTTAAACACACGTGCACACACACACACACACACACACACGTCTCTCCTTCCTCATTAGCCAGCTTGAACCACCAGCCTGCAGGGAGGCAACAGACAGGGCCCCGGGAAGCCAGGGTGAAGAAGCTCCCACTTCAGATGGGTTCTGAGACAATTTTCCCCTTCCCTCAGGCTGAGATATTCTGCCATCTGTTTTGATTAAACCTTTCAAAATTCAACTTGTGTTTTTCCTTCCATTCCTTTGAAATCTCCTTTAATTCAACAGTCTTTAGGCTTTCTTCTTTCCCTTAACCACCATCTGGTGCTTCTATTTAAAAAAGAAAGAAAGAAAGGAAAGAAAACACATACAACAAACACTTTGAGTTCCTTGGAAGAAAGGTATAATGATGAGGATAATTTATTCCCCTAGTGAGGCCCATTACTATTTCCATGGCAACAGACTGTGATGTTCTGAACATGGGACTTTGTGATCATCACAAGAACAGGATGGCAAAAGGCCCTGTTCAGACTCTTTGTCCTTATGGATTCTTTGGGTAGTCACCCCTGGTGGCTCCCAATTGTCTACAGAATTAAGTCCAAAGGCCTTGGCATGGCATTCAAGGCCTTCCATATTGGTCCAATCATTCCCAGCTCATGGTCTGCTAATCCCAGGACACTGGCTACTCTGAACCTTCTCTATGGCTCCCTGTGTCCTGGAAACATCACACTTTTTCATGCCTCCTTGTATTTGACTCCATCACTTCTTACAAATGCCCTCCTTTCACTTCCTTCCCCTTTTTATAACCTAATGAAATCCTCCTCATTCTAAATGTTTGGCTCAAATGTCTCCTTGTAGGTGGACTCTTCCATGGTTCACTCAAGCAACAGAAATAATTGTTTTCTGTACTCTCAGCATTTTGCTCAAACACCTAACGACACCTAACTTAAAAAGAAATCATAGTTATGTTTATATCTTCTTTATTTGAATTTGGATTATTTGCTATTGGAATCCAAACCTGTTTCACAGACTACTACAATTCTTTCACATGACTTCTCAAAACATCCTAAGAGCTAGGTGGGGCACATATTTTATCCCCATTTTGCTGTTAAGAACAACCAGGTTTAGAAAACATAAGAGTAAGTGGCAGAATCCCGCTGATAGCATAGAAAGAATGTGGACTTTGGAGTCTGGCATATTTGGACTTTTGTAATCTCTCTTCCCTTCCATTCTTTCACCTGTGAAATGAAGAGTGAATGAAATCATGTATGTAAAGGTGCTCGGCATGTAACCCATATTGAAGAAATGTTAACTTTCTTCTTTCCCCTTCAAAGTCTACTTTCTAGAAACAGCCTACTTTCTAGTCTACATCTAGAAACAAAATTAAAATTTCCTTCCATTTTGCTTCCCAAATTTTTATGTCGTGCTACATTTTTGGTGCTGATTCAACGGAACAAACAAATGAATATCTTCAGCGTCTTCCAGCAAAAATCTTTGCCTTACATCCCTTTTCTGCAATCCAGTTTAATAAGAGATGCTACCTAACAGAGATGTAAAAATTCAATGAAACAGGGCTTCTCTGGTGGCGCAAGGGTTTAAGTCTCAGCACTATGAAGCTATCAACAGCAACTGCAGCACAAGTTCGATCCCTGGCCAGGGAGCTGACTCACATGGTGCAGCAGACCTCTCCTGACTCACCAGCTGCTCCCCTCAGCAGTGTATTTCAGTAAATCTACCTGTTCTGCTCCCCACTCTGTCTCTGGTGAATCTTCTCACCCACCCCCACACCCCTCTGGCCTACACTCCAGCTCTTGTGTGCATAAATAAATAAATCTTTAAAAAAAATTCCTTTTCTTTTCTTTTCTTTTTTTTTTTTTTTTTTAAGATTCACCTATCTATTTATACAAGCACTGGGTACAGTCAGAAGCGCGGGAGGGTGAGAGAATTCACCAGAGCCAGAGCAGGGAGCAGAGCAGGCAGAAGGACCGAAGTACACTGCTGAGGGGAGCAGCGGGCGGCAGGAGAGGTCTGCGTGCCATGTGGGACCCTCCTCTGGTGGCCGGGGAGCAGCCGGGGATTGAACCAGCACTGCAGGGGCTGTGGGCAGCCCCACAACCCAGCGCTCAACCGCCGCGCCACTGGGGAGGCCCTTTAAAAAATTTTTCAATGAAACAAGTATGGCTACATGAAACTCTTAGCATGATGTTTGGTATGAAGTAAGTGCATAGGGTTTTGCAATTACACTGCTATTATTGTCATTATTATTTGCATAGCAGAACACTGCCCTATGAGAAATACAAAAATGAACAGTCTCACGATTCTGCTTTCATGCTTTCCTTACCACAGTCAGCTTTTTTGCTGTAGTCATCTGTGCAGTCATTTCCTTTTATAAGATTGTAGGGTTGAGATCAGGCTTCTGCACCTTATCTAATTCTTCCTTTTGGGTGGAACTAAAAGTCTTGCAGAAGAGAATCCTTTAGTAAAATTTGGTCCACAGAAGTGTTGAAAGATTTTTCTATAAAAACTAATACTGAAATAGTACTCAAGAGCTTCTGGCTCTCTCATCATTACAATATGAATCTTCAACAATGGTAGGTTGACTGGGAGAAACATGTTTGTGAAGACTGTGCATGACTGTAGATTATTGGACAGATCTTTTTGAGACTTTATTTAAACTTTAGTTTTTCTACATAATCTTTTCTCACAGGATACTAACATTTTCCAAATTAGGAGACAGCTCCTAATCTCTGGGGGTTGCAGGAGTGTCTAAGGAAATTAGTTCCTCAAAAACATGTCAACCAGGTATCCAACTCAGCCCAAACTGGATTATCTAGTATAGTGTCATTCAGATATTCAGTCAATAAGTATTTTATGGGCTACTTCATTTTAGACCCAGTGTTGAGTTAAGCAGTACCATGGAATCCTGTTTAGCTACCTGTAAACATCCCCCAAAACACAGACAGACACATACCCCAAGCCAATCACCTGAGAAAGGATCTTACCACCCAAGATAAGGGAAGTGAGGTTCCCACTGTTTAAGTGACTTGCCCTAATATCCCACACGTGACAGAGGAAGGATTTAAATTTGAACCCAAGTTCCTGAGACACCAGAGCTCACACACTTTTCCCGATGCATCTCCTTGGCTCCCAGGACCGTCTGCAGATTTCCCAAGATTCATTGCTGGTAATCACACGCCAGGGGCAGGTGCTAGCCAGTTAGTCCTCTCTCTTGCTGACCATCATACCAGGGTTCAGATCAAAGTTAGCTTTGCTGACTTTCTTTCTAGCCATCATTAGATTGTGGTCTCTGGTCTGTGCCTCCTTAGGAACCAGCAAAGCCACAACACAGGGTGCAAAGGATCACAGGGTACAAAGAGTCATGGGGAGGAGGTTTGTGGTGTGTCCCTTTAGAACTCCCTCCCACCTTTTTATTTTATTTATTTATTTATTGCTACAGCTGCTGCAGGGTGGTGGGGGGCATTGATTCTGACTCACCACACACTTTGAGAGCCTCTGACTCATCTCAGCTCTGGTGTTCTTCCAACTCTGCTCAGAACACTATGGGTGCCCTTCCTCAGCTGCCCAGGAGCAGCCAGGACAGTTCAGATGTGCTTGGTTCAGCCCTAAATGACACCAAGTTCATTAGTAAGTTAGACACACACACAAGAATCAAAGACTGCCCAGCAACCAACAGGGCTTAGGCAAGTTTTAGACTGTGTTGAAGCCAAGATTAATGTGCAATACCATTAGAATTAATTAACTACTTTGCATTCAGGCATATAGTGTGCATTTGCATTGATAGTATTATTGATAGTTAAAAGTTTATTTTTACATTTTCTTTTATGTTACTTTTTATAAAAGGTAACTATAAAATATGCATTAGTTGAAAGTAAGTCACAATTTTTTTAAAAGTTAACTGTACGTTAAAAGAAAAAATTCTTTATCCATAATTTTGTATAACTCTGGAATAAAATCTTGACGTTAGGAAGATCTCAACTTTGTAAGAGATCATATTGCTCAAAGTTAAGAAACAAGCTTTAATTTAACTGCTTAAAGAAGGATCCTTTGGCTGTTCCCATATAATAAATGACAAGTGTTTCTTTGACTATATGAAAGGCTCCAAATTCATTTAATTGTTCCTGATTGCTATTTTAATCACTATGCAGTAATTCCATTTCAGAAAAGAATTTTGCATTTGTTAGAATTTTGGCATTACACTGTCCTTTCTTTCCAACAGCCTGTTGTGGTTCGTACAACAGAATTTCCCCCCGTTAATTATTATCAAGAGTGCTTTGTCCTATCCTCTGATACCTCTGCTTACTCTCACTGTGAGACTGCATTTCAGCATTTATCATCTTCTGTGAGGTTTTAATATTGGTATCAAAAATGTTGTTATCCTTTAGTGAACCTCTTGTATAACAGTCATGAACAACTTCCTTTTGGGGAAAGTTGGCTTTATCTTCATTTTTAAAAACAGATGTTTGTATGTTTTGATGAATCCAACACCCAGAATCTCTTCTGATTGGTTTTTTGAGGTTTGACACCAAACTTCTTTTTACCTACCTGCACTGATAACTTATACCTATGAAAAGCTTGTGTACCTATGAAAGCTTGTTTGCAATGTGGTTATAGACTGGTAGTAGGCTTTTTGTTACCTCCCTTGGCCACATTTTGAAAATGTTTCCTAGTAATTTGTTTCAGCAAGAAATGAATCTGAGGCACAGTTCTGTAGAAACTTGGTAATGTCCCCCCGGAGGGCTCCCCAATTCTCAGCCTTCTGGGGAAGGGCCACCCAGATCTCCCCTCATGATATGGGCCCTCAGCGTGTATATTTTGGAAATATTTGGAACAAGAAAGTTTGGTAGGACAAAAGATGTTTTAAGGATTTAAAGAGGAAAGGAGCCGCCTGCATTGAACTCACTATCGTGCCGAAGTGACTGCAGTCTAACACCACATGTGTTCTGGCTTTTAGCAGGATTGTTCTCTCCACTTTGCTCTGAAATGTAAAGCACCATTGCCCACTGCAAGTCTTAATGAAAAGCAGCTCATAAGCAAGTTACGTAACCTAATTGTAATCCAGGGATCAGCTTGGCTATATTATTTAAAGAAATAGCATCCATTTTCTGTGACCTGATTTAGAAAAGAAACCCAGGGAGGAAAAAAAAAAAGAAAAGAAAAACCCAGTTCAGCACTTGGCTCCCTGTGCTCATTCTAATGAGAATGCTTGTAAATAATTCAAAAACAATGACTTTTAAGAACATTAGACACAACTTAGCTCAGGGTTATAGCTCAAAGCTGCCTTTGCTGCTTAAAGCAAATTATAAGCGATCATGAAATATGGGGCTTATTTTTCCAGAAAACTTAGTCACTTAGTATATTTAATTTCCTCATAATTTAATACATGTAGCACTAAGTAGAGGCAAGAGGCTGGGGAAAAGATGGATGGGCCCTGCTCTCAGGAAGCTTAAAATCTGGGAAGGTTAATCATAAATGCATAGACATTGGCTCATTAATTGGAACAAATGTATATTCCATAGCAAAGTAAGATGTTGACAGTGGTAGAAAAAGGAGCGGCAGTGGTGGTATGGTTATAGTAACTCTGTCTATTTTTGCAACTTTTCTGTAAATCTAAAACTATTCTAAAATTAAAAATTTATTTTTAAAAACCTAGATAGGGAACCAGTTGGGTACACAAATAGATACACATCCGTCCTTGTTGCCTGGTTTGTAGAAATAAAACCAGACTTGCCTAATAGGCAGCCTCCTAAGTAGTATGATTGTTTTATGAACTTCAGAAGCACAAAACTGGATTAATCATAGCCCTGATTCATGTTAATAGTGTGTCATGTATCAAAGACTATGATTGGTCCTTTGGTCCTTATATAACCTCATTTTATTGACTTACACTGAATATATATTACAATAATATATACTAGTCATAAACCCACCTGTCAACCCAAGAGCTAAAAGTTTTTCATGATTTACATTAATCTGTGAGTTTCTTCCCTACTTCAAACTCCAACTTTTCTCCTGTAGTAACCACTATATTAAAATTTGCTTTAATCCTAGCTTTGCATTTCTTTACATTTTCATATGAATATGTGTGAGTCTAAACAACATATTTTAGAACTTATTTGTGTTGTCTTCTGGGACTTGTTCTTTTGGTTTTCATCAGTGGGTTCTAAATTTTTGCTATTACAAATGGATTCTTCCTTGAGTACCTTTTTTATTATATTCTGGTAAACATGTCCTAATGTTTTGATTGACTAGTTTTTATGAAATTGAAGAGTCTTAACACTGTATAAGAATCAAAACAAAAAGAATCAAGATTCAACAGTTCACTTATAGAAACTGAGTTATGTGGTCAGGGAAAAGCATATTTGAGGCAAAGGAATATATTAATTATACACCAAATCTACTTTAGTTAGGAATTGATTTGGCTATACCATAAGATCCAAATAAACAGTGGGTTAAACAAAAGTATTGCTTTCATGTACAACATCAGAGGTGAAAACCTCTGACTGATAGGGCAAGCTTCACAAAGTAGTCATGGATTCAGCCTTCTTCCAGCTCCTCCAGTTTGCTATCCCTAGGTGGTGACCTTTGTCTTCATGCTTAAACTTTCAGCCATTATCTCTACTTCTCAGTCAGTGTGAGAGAAAAAGAAAGGAAGCCGAGTGTGCCTCTTCTGTTCAAGGACACTTTTCCCAAATTGCACATGACATTTCTAATAATTACATCCCATTAACCAGAAGGTAGACACTTAGCTCATCTAGTATCAAGGGAGAAAGGAAAATTGAGTCTTTATTCCGGATGTCCCTGAATTCACCTAAAATTTAAGGGTTCTTTTACTAAAGAAGAATAGGGATAAGGATTTAGAGATAGTTAGTGGTCTCTAAGAGAATTGTCACAACTAAAGTAAAAGCAGAAAGGAAATCAACCCATTTATGTTGAAAGGCACAAAGAAAAGGTCAAAACTGATATCACCTTCCAAAAATACCACTGTCAACCTTTTGAGATATATTCTTCCAGACTTTTTCTACCATATATTTATCTTCAATACTCCCATAACTATACCTATATTTATATAAATATTTCCTCACATTATTTTTAAAGAGACTGTCTAAATTATTACAGTAAGTCAAAGGGAAAGATGACTGGTCTTGGGCCTCCCCCGGTGGAGCAGCGGTTGAGCGCTGGGCTGCGATGCTGCCCATGGCCTCTGCAGCACCAGTTTGATCCCCAGCCACCAGCAAGGGTCACACATGGTGCACAGACCTCTCCTGCCGTGCCCACTGCTCCCCTCAGCAGTGTGCTTCGTCAGTCTGCCTGTTCTGCTCCCCGCTCTGGCCTTGGTGAATTCTCTCACCCTCCTGCGCTTCTGACTGTACCCAGTGCTTCTATAAATAAATAAATAAATATTAAAAAAAAAAGGAAGAAAGAAAGATGACTAGTTTTTTCTTCACCTTTATTAATTTTTTTAAACATTTATTTATTTATGCATACAAGAACTGGGGTATAAGCCAGAGGTACAGGGGGTGAGAGGATTCACCAAAGAGAGTGGGGGGCAGAACAGGTAGATCTACTGAAATACACTGCTGTGGGGCTTCCCCTGGTGGCGCAGGCGGTTGAGCACAGCACTGCAGAGGCTGTCCGCAGCCTCTGCAGTGCTGGTTCCATCCCAGCTGGCCAGGGAGGGTCCCACATGGCGCGGCAGACCTCTCCTGTCGCGCCCGCTGCTCCCCTCAGCAGTGTATTTTGTTAGTCTGCCTGTTCTGTTCCCCACGCTGTCTCTGGTGAATCCTCTCACCCTCCCGTGCCTCTGGCCTGTATCCCGGTTTTTGTATGCATAAATAAATAAATCTTTAAAAAAAAAATACACTGCTGTGGGGCAGGAGAGGCCTGCTAGGCCATGTTGGTTGCTCCCTGGCTGACTAGGAATTGAACTTGTGCTGCAGTGGCTGGCGATAGCTTGATAGCGCTGTCTTTAACCCTTGCACCACCAGGGAGGCCCTTTTTTTCACCTTTAAACTCTAAATAAACTTAATGGGAAATGTAACATTCTCTTAACTAGAGGAAAGAGAAGAATGTGGCCTAACATGAGTTTTTATATTTCTCAGAGTTATCAAAATAACTTTAGCTGTATACAGGATGGTTGGGAATAAAAATTCAAAGGTGAATTTAAAACAAAATGATTAGTCATACGAGAAGACGTACAGGTACATCATCAATTGCAATGGTGACCAGAAAAATCAATGGACATGTGAACTTTGGGATTATACATATGAAGAGAATTTGCCCAGACCATAGCAATAGAAAGGTACAAGTTTCAGTAACTAGCCTACATACCCCTAAGCATGTCCTACCTGATGAGTAAAAGGAAGGTTCTCTGGGGATCTGCTTTCTTTTCCAGTGCACCAACTATCATGGTAGATGACCTTTGGTCAAGGAAAGGACTATTATATGGACATGCAAATTCACTCAAGAAACCTACTAGGACTTACTATGTATCAGGTGCTTGAGTACAAAAAAAAAAAAAAAAGAATAAAACCTAGTCTCTGTCTTCAGGGCAACCACACTATAAAGATCAGTTGCCAGATCTGTACTAAGCACTTTACAAGCA